CAGCCCCCTCCGTTTGCTCCACCTCCCTTTACCCCTCCAGCACCCCCTTTCTATGGACGAGGACAGCTCCGACCCCCCTCCCCTGTCTGTCACCGGGAAGGGCGGTGCCCGTCACTTCTCCCCCAAATCCCCCACTAGCAGCCACCCAATCCAAATCCAGGGTTCAAAATGCGTGCTCCATTTTTTTATTTTTTTTAAAAGCCTTCATAATGGCAGTCCTGCAATGGAATGTCGGTAGACTCCGACCTTCCATTGCAGAATTGCAACACTTACAGTTACAGTAGAGTCCACATTGTGCCCACTTGTGGCCTGTATCCAGGAGACAAAGTTCGCCCCGGCTTCAACCATAGACTAAATAGGATTTACTGCGTATCATCATATTCACACGGAGAACCAGATTGCTTCCGGTGAAATCACCCTCTACATCGACAACAACACACTTCACGGACAAGTACATCTTAGGACGACCCTCTAGGCTATAACCGTACGGGTCACCCAGCACAGACCAACCACGATCTGCTCTGTTTACATCCCACCAAATCACACGTACCCCCTCAGAACAACTCAACTAAATGATTTAAAGCTCCAGCTCCCTAAACCCTTTATTTTGCTTGGTGATTTCAATGCCCGTAGCCCCCTTTTGGGAGACAAACCCACAGACCAAAAAGGAAAAATAACTGAAGACTTTTTACTTCAAAATAACATCTGCCTCTTAGTCTTAAATGATATGTCCACCGCTTACAGAAACAGATCCACTCTTGGCACTTCATCGCTTGGCCTCACCTTTTGTACCCCCCTGACCTAGTCCCAGATCTTGAGTAGTCTGTGCTAGATGACCGAGCGGACCACTTCCCAATTCTTTTAAAAAACAATAGCCTCCAAAACGATCCCAGAACGCTTCAACTTTTTTTTTTTAAGCACACTGGGACGGGTCCGCCACTGAATGTCCCCAGATTTTGAACCCCACTTTCGACCTTAAATACAACAAATTCCATGAAACGCTTCTAGAAATATGTCACAAAGACATACCAAAAACATCCCCAAAACCTCGGAAGAACAAGATCTGGTTCTCTCGGGAGTGTGATGATGCAGGAAAGAAAAAGAAGGGAGCATATCGGAGAACCATCGACAACTCCACCACAGAAAACAAAACTAATTATTTAAAAGCTCGAGCTCAGGCACGTAGATGCCTCCAGGGAGAACAAAAGATAATCGCTCAGAACAGTCAGACCACCACTCAACCAATTTTTAAAATTGCTATTTAAAAACATGGGTAGCAGCACAGACACCACCCGGCACGTTCTGAGGCCGGATGGAACCACATCCGAAACACTGGTAGACATCGCAAACACAATTAGCTACATCTCTCTCCCAGGACTCATCCAAAGCAAACTACAACACCACCTTCCAAAACATCAAAAGTAACAGAGAACAACAACCCCTGAACTTCCACTCAAACAATACATGTACTGAAACCTACAACACAGACTTCACATTTGGCGAACTAGCATCGTACATCTCGGATCTGGGCAATACAGCCCCGTGTCCAGGTGACATCCACCACCAGATCATAAGACGTTTACCCACAGAAACACTAAATTTACACTCCTACTAGTACTAGACAATACAACGACATCATGTGGCTGTCACACTCCTTTCCGGAGTCCAGGCGTCTCGCCACCGTCATTCCAATACCCAAACCAAACAAAGACCACACACATCCATCCAATTACATACCAATAGCACTGACGAGCTATTTATGCAAACATTTAGAAATAATGATTCACGGGCGACTCTCGTGGTTTCTGGAGACGACGGGCTCGCTGAACGGTCTTCAGTGCAGATTCAGTAAAACCTGATCCACTCTGGATCACCTGGTCCGCCAAGAGACCTATACGCAAGACGTTTGCCGAAGGAGGCCGTATGATCGCCATCTTTTTTCCCCCCAAAAAAGCCTTCGACACAACCTGGAAGTACATGTACGGCATTCTCAGAGATCTGCACACACTCGGTATACGCGGTCACCTCCCTGCCTTCATTGGCAATTTCCGGAATGCGATACTTCAGAACACAGATAATATAAAAGAATTTTGCGGTTGTGAAAGGTAACAATTATGATTGACAAATAAGTCACGCTGGCAAAGTAACCAGAGGATGCTACATGTGTAATTTTCAGAAACTGAAAAAAGGGGATGGGGGGTGGGGGAGCCTCCCCGAAATCCTTTATATAACCCCCCTTGACCGTTATGTAAACCAAAAACATCAGGGAAGACCATCAACTAAATTGGCACCTATTTTTGTTTGCTTTCAACACCCTTTAATGCTCAGGGTCGAGGAAAAAATAAACCTTACACTTCAAATTTCGTATGATTGTTATAAAAATTAAGATCAAATTAAAAATAGTCGATCCATTGAATATATTTGATGCAAAGTTTCTTTTAGGTGACAGAATCTCTCTCTCTCTCTCCTTCTGTCTGTCTATCTGTCATCTGTCTGTCTGTCTGTTTGTCTGTCTGTTTGTCTGTCTGTTTCTCTCTCTCTCTCTTTCTCTCTCTCTCTCTCTCTCTCTCGCTCTCTCTCTTTCTTTCTCACCTTTCTCTCGTTCTGTCTGTCTGTCTGTCTGTCTGTCTGTCTTTCTCTCTTTCCTCCCTCTCTTGCTCTATCCATCTGTCTGTTTCCCTGTCTGTCTGTCTCCTTCTCTTTCCCTTTCTATCTCCCTATATCTCTCCTCTCTAGTTCTGTCTGTCTGTCTGTCTGTCTGTCTGTCTGTCTGTCTGTCTCTCTCTCTCTCTCTCTCTCTCCCTCCCCCCTCTCTCTCTCTGTCTCTCTTTCTCCCCCTCTCTCGTTCCGACTATCTGTCT